ATAGATATAGATAGATATAGATAGATATAGATAGATAGATATATCTATCTATATCTATCTATATCTATCTATATATATATACATACATACATAATATAATATAGTTTACATGTATTCTATTTGTAGGTTAATACTTTAGGTATACACACAGTAATATACTGTGGAAATGAATACATTGAAATTACTAGACTATTCCTAGGCATAACTACATCCCAATATGTAAGATTAAAATAAAATAAGTAAAAGAAATACAGATTTTCCACTTACCCCATCATTCATGGTGAGCACAACTCAGTGTAGTAGAGTCAAATCTAATGTGGTTTAAGAGTGGAAGTGAGAGTAGAATTAGTACAGTGTTACAATAAGCATGATTGGTGGTTTCAAAAGGGTGTACCTCTCTCTCTCTATATATATGACCAGTATGATAGATGCTTCTTCTTGTAACGCTACCTTGCTATTTACTACTTGTTATTACCATTCAGAGAGCAGCAAGAACAACAGAAAGTCTAATCCAAGGTTAGGTACACACAGGCTATTTTGATTGTTGTCCTATTGCCAATCCATTCTTTTTCTTAAAGATCAATTGATTGAGTAACCTAGAAAGTAGAAGTATACAGCTTACATTGACAAGTGCTACTCTTTGCAGGGTTTTTACACCACTCTTGAGAGCAGCAGTATACAGCATTCTGATGTCCTCTCCTCCTACATATACTGCCTGTGGTCATTTCCTACACATTCCTCTCCTGCACATACTGACCGTCATTATACCCTCTGCATGACTGCCCAACATTATACCCTCCACACTCCTCTCATCCACATACTGCCCACAATCATGTCCTCTGCACTCCTCGCCTGCACATACTGCCTGCTGTCATACCCTCCACACTCTTCACCTACACAAACCCAAACCCACTTTCGAATCCTCTCTGCACTCAACTCTTACACATACTGTTTGCCTTCAAGACTATGCACACCACAATCCTCTCCTATCACGCACCGCCTACCATCATACCCCCTGCATTACCATACTGCAATACTGCCTTCCATCATACCCTCCGCACAGTGGCGTCACAAGGGGGGTGCGGGGGTGGGGCCCTGAAACTTAATTTTGCATGCTCTTATTCCATTTGGTTCTTCTTCCACAGCCCTTAGAAATAACAGGTCCTTCCAGGTGTGGGGGGCATGTGACCTCCTCTTCTTCTCAGGATGCAGTGGTCGGGCCTGAGCAACCAATCATCAGGTCCAAACACTGTCATGTGTCATGTGTTTGGCAAATACATCCCTTTACTGGCCTAGAATCTGCCCCTGCAATTGAAATGTCAGCCCTCCCTGCCTTTGGGGGTCCACGTTATACCCCTGGTGGCCAGGCGGGCACTACAGTCGTAAAACCACAAAGGTAAGGGAAGGAGGCATTCAGGCAAAGTCATAAAACAACAAAGGTCAGAACAAAGGACATTTAGCCAAAATTGTAACACAACAAGGTCAAGACAAAGGGCATTTAAGCAAAGGCATAACACAACGAAGTTTGGGACAAGGGACATTCAAGCAAAGGTGTAACAAAACAGAGTACAGGGCAGGGGTTGTTCAGGCAAATTTTCAACACAACAAATGTCATGAGAGAAAGCTATTAGGCAAAGTTGTAAACAACAAAAGATCAGGAAGTGTTCAGGCAAAGCAATAAAAAAAATGGCCACGACAGGTAGCAGGCAAATGAATAATAAAATCTAGCTGGTTTCATTGACAGAACAGTATCAGAAAACACAATGTAGGATATAAAAGCTGTGTTAGTTTTAAGAAATATAAAAACATTTCTGTATTTATAATGTAAAAAGAACCATCTAGAAACTTTGTATATAACACAAAGGACATGTCACAATTCATTGCTTTATCGGAATCAGAAACAAAAATATCCGCAAAACAGAGAAGTTTGTTTCTTAAATAGACTTTCAGTATTTCCTCATAGTAGACATTACATTCACTTTTTTTTCCCCAGGGAAGTTAATGACTAGCAAAAATTTGCCTGTTGGTGTAAAGAAGAAACCAGTTTCGGTGATACAGAATATAGTGCATATAGTGCAGACATGTACAATATTCATTGTAGAAGGAGAAAAAGATGTGCACATAAAAAGGTCAGTATATTCTCGAGGTCAGGGGCAGGCAAGTTTGCAACTCCAGGTGTGATGAAACTACAAATCCTATCATGACTTTGCTTCGGGGAGTCATGTAGGGTTGCCACCTTTTCTTCAAGCCAAACCCGAACACTGTAGCACCTCGCGGCAATTGTTTTGTAAAGTATACACTATGCATATATTTGGAGTTAATCACAACTTGCCAGTGTGCCACAGGTCCCCAGATATATACTATATAAAGCAATATCCATATACTTTGCCGCACTCATTACCCGATATCCCAAAAGTAACGGGTGCTCGTAATGACTGCGGATGGCGCCGCTCACAACAGAACTCCAATACAGATGTCACCAGCACCACAATTCCATGTTAGTGTAAATTAGGGATGCACCGATACAAGAGGTGCACCGAAATAAAGATTTCAAAAACGAAACCTAAATAAAAAAAAATGTCAGACCGAAACCGAAGATCTTTTTTATTTGACCTTTTTCACATTTATTTCAAATAATTTATTTTATAAACTTTTATATTTTTTTATATTTATTTTTATTTATTCATTCATTTTTTATTAAATATTTTTCTTTTTTACTTTACTTTTAGGGGCTTCGCCGTCCGCCGCCGCTCACAGTCGCCGTCCACCGCGGCGCCGCCACTCACAGCCAGCTGTCGGGTGAGCAAATCTGCAGCTTGAATCCTGTGCCCGGGTCTGCCAAAGTCGTGTACCCGGGCACAGGATTCCAAAACCGGACTGTCCGGGTCATTCCCGTACGGGTGGCAACCCTAGAGTCATGCCTGTCACTGTTAGGCC